CTGAAGTCTTGCGTCTGGTTGAACCAAAAGCCAAACCAGTGCAGAAAGGGCGTTAGATGGAGATTGTATACCATCTGAATCGTTTCACCTAACATCCTCTACAGTCGACTTGGATCGGTCTTGCCACAGCTTTACGATAGGGAAGATAATAACGGCGCATCAACTTTACTGTATTTTGGACTTAACGCCTCTGCAGAGACCTCTGTGGCAAGTCAAATTTCTAATGAAGTACGAATTACGTGGACTGTGTGGATTCCGTAGGTCTACTGCACACGTAGACGGGACTTTGTTTTGTTCCAGAAACACGATCCCCACGATGCGTGTGTGCGAACCTTTCGAATTGTCTACTGCTCCCTCTTGTCGATCCAATAAGTGCAGACTATCATCGTTTCCAATGGTTGAATTACCGATAATATGTATGACCTCACTTCGCCCACATAAGTATCTAGCTTTGATTGCACTCCTAACTGAAGACTCGGATTGAGATGGGCGCAATGTTCAGCGTTGTACTCCAGACTGTGTATAATATCTTAACTTCAGTTAATGTGTTCTAGTTGGCATAGCCCCGGCCCGTTTCTGCTACCGTTTTTGATTCAGGAAGAAATCCATAACTTAAGGTCGTTATCCCGATGATCTCATTCGCTTTTTCGCAACTATCAGTATTACCGAGGAGCCCAGGATACGTGTAGCAAACTTTCGACCCCATAGCCCCGCCCCAACGTGGACAGAAGTTCATATCATTAAGGAAATTTTATTAAGTAAATAGTTGAGTATTCAAGTCTGATGTTTTTTGTTAATGTTTTTTTGTTTTCATATGCAGAGCACATGTCAGTATGAAGTTATCAAAGTAAGTGGAATAACAGGAGAGTGTGATAGTAGAAGAAGAAGCACGAACCTCGTGCACACACACACACACAATAAATGCACAATTCTGGAGGTGGTTTTGTTGTTCTAAATGTATCTCTCTGTGACTCTGACTCTTGTCTCTCTTGGAATGCAGGCAAAGAACAGGGGGAAAAAAGAGGAGTTATAACTAAGCATAAGAACTTTCTCTCTCTCTCTTCTTGGGTTCGCTCTCTCTATGTGTGTTTTGTTTTGTTTCGACCCGCAGTAGGCCTTGCTCTGGCTCCTCTGTTAGACTGGAAAGAAGTGGTTGTTTTTCTTGCAGCTAACAGACAGTAGGGCGCGCGACTCCACCGAGCTAAAGGTCATCTTCTTGTTAAGCAGGGCCGACAACTCCGGTGTGCCCACGGGCAGTACGATACGCGCCAGACTGGACTTCACGCCATCTGCACCCAGATCAGAGACGAGAATTGGCATACGGGGAATGCCACCACCGCGGGTCCTCTCATTAAACTCCAGGTGGGCGAGGAATTCGCAGGACTCGTTGCCGCACTTGCGACTGCAGA